TGTGTGTGTGTGTGTGTGTGTGTGTTCTCTCTCAGGTGTTTGATGGAGCTGTCATCGTCCTCTCTCTGGCCCCCATGGTGGCCTCCACAGTGGCCAACGGCCCCAGCAGCCCCTGGGATGCTATTGGTCTCATCATCACGCTGCGCATCTGGAGGGTCAAGAGGATCATTGATGGTGAGGCTAGGAGGGAGGGGCTCGGGGGGTGTTGTCCCCTGCGTCCTGTCCTCTACTGTCAGGTTACAGAGACAGATACTGCAGTGAGCTCTCTGCAGTATTGGTTTCATTCAGTCTTGAGCTGTTTTTTTCCAATTATTTTCCTCCAGGAGTGATAGTGGGACATCATGTGTTGTAACAAACCTGTGGTTTTAGTACAATGGTTGCTACATGGACATTATTTCATCATACAGGGGCATGAGCTGAGCATGTTTTTTAGCATTGCTCTCCCTGGTGGTTTTTTAATATAACACAGTAGCCAAGATGTAAAGAGGGATGATAGTTGAGAGTGAACAAAAGATCTTAACACTTTAGAACACAAACCCACTACATAGCTCAAACCTTCACCAAGGCCTAACAGTCTCCTTATTATATCACATTTAAATTCACTCAATACAGATTTTTATTTTTATTTGCCTCAAAGTGCAAACACTCATTTCTATCAGTCTCCTAAACGTGCCTGTTTATTTTCATCAAGACAAATCAATGGAAATGTTGAAAAACCGACAATGTGAAATAAAAAATTCCTGGATCTGCCCCCTGATCAGGAACTGCACCAAAATGTTCTGGGTGACCAATACTGCATCCTTCCACCAAGTTTCATAATTATTTGTCTAGTCCTTTTTGTGTAATCCTGCAAACTAACAGAGATAAACAAACACATGCAGACAAAAACTTAACTTCACATACTGCTGACTAAAAACCTTTCCTGCCACAACCTCCACAAAAACCCAACATAAATGAAGCCTCACAAAGATGGTGTTGTTTGCAGGACCGTTGTGATGTCACCTCTGTCAGCATGTGTACAACATGTTAATTGCAGACCTTGTTGGGAACCAGTTAATATGGAGGATTTTATTTGACTAAACTGTGTAAAATAACCTCAAAGATCAGCTCATCCATCTCTACATGAATCAAGAGTTTTTAGTTGGAGTTGTTTCAGAGAATTGACCAATATGTTGTTCTGTTGTCTGTCTGCTCTCCATCCTGTTGTTCCAGCCTATGTGCTGCAAGTGAAGGTGGAGATGGAGCTGGAGATCCACCAGTATGAGAAGGCCAAGGCAGTGAGGGAGGAACAGCTTGACCGTCTCACTCAGATCTGTCAGGAACAAGCAGTACGTCCTCTCATCCGTCTCACATCTCCTGCCTACAATCTGTTTCTCTGTATCACACCAGCAGGGGGAGGCAAAGCACTAAACAAGAAACGAATACAGGATGCCTTCCTCATTGGTCAAATCTGTTAACACCATCAGAATTAACTTTTTACAGCAGCCTGGTGGATATCAGATATCCAGCACTTTGCACTTTTATCTAAAAGCAACTGAATGACTTCTTCAAAATGTAATAATCTAGTTTAACTTCAAATGCATCCACTGACTGTTCTACTGTATGTCTGTTATACTGCAATTTTGGAAATGCACACTCTACTGTATTTGTAAAGGTCAGCTGTGATGTAAGCAATACATCCAGTACTGATAACAGAGGCATACAATGCTCAGAGAAAAGGGGATGGTGTATTAGCCAGAATACACAGTATTTTATTAGTGTTTAATACCCGTAAAAACACTCCTGTGTATTCTCTATTGACTACCTGGGTGGAAAATATAGACTTTTCTCCTCTTCTCCCTTGTGTCTGTCTTTCGTTTCAGTTTGAAATCAGGCAGCTGAGAGCCCACCTGGCCCAGCAGGACCTGGACCTGGTGGCAGAGCGTGAAGCAGCAATGCAGATCCACCATATGTGGGGTAAACAAAGCAGCACTTTCCAGGAGGTGGATGGACTGGCCCCGGGGGCCTCGGAGCATCACGCTCCAGCTAAAGCGAGAGAGCCCGGGGGGCCTGCAGGTAACCGTCCGGAACACCCAACTCCTTTTGTATCACAGGCTTTCAAAGACTGGTGTTCACTGAGGGGGGATTCAGGGCTGCGCTTTTATCCTTAAACCAGATCCAGGTACACACAAGTGGCTGGTTAAATGTTTGATGTAGAAGAAGATGACTTGTGACAGGGAGGTTGCAGATTTAAATTCTTTGGATTGGTTGAATGAGAAATCCTTCTTCATCCTTAGGAACAAAAGAATTAACATGTCAGTGGAACGTAACATGTAAGGCTGGTGATTTAAAAACAGCAACACATTATTTTAAATGAAGAGAAAACAACACATCTAAGAAGAGTAAGAGTGGAGATGCTGGTGTCCTCTTATCACAAACATCTCACAATTCACATCTCAGCTCTTGTGCCACATCTAGATGGAAAATAAAGCTTTTACACAGTGACAGTTCATAACTTACTGGACTTAGAGCAACAATGTGCCGTCAGGGCTTTAAAATCCTGAAGCTTTTCCTTTATCAAAATTATAAATCATAGCCCCTCCCTGCATTATATCTGAGCCACAGTGTTTCCAGTCAGACAGCCTTCACACTGGGCCCTCTTCTCGTAAACTCATGTGGTATTGATCATCTGGAGACGATTGCTGTCACAGCTTAAGATAAACAATGACCGGCCCTATCGTAGAACGATTATGTGACAGTGATGCAAAAACTTGTTGGAGAGCACTTTGAGAAACACTGATTTTATATCTGTGGAACTTAAACACAGAGTGCTGCTCTTTCACATAATAATGAAACAATGTGTTGTGTTATTTTAGAAGAGCAACAGCTACAAGACAAATGTAATGACTGATCAGCTGGTAAAGGAATTTATCAAGCAGCATTTAGTTATTCCACCTTTTCTGTTATCCATGAACGCAAAATTAGTTTTTCAGATTCAGACAAAATTAGAAACTTAAAAACATCAGCTCAGGCTTTAGGAAAATGATGGATATTTTTAAAATCTTATAGATTAAATTATTAGAAATTCTGGAGAGGGAGACTGAACCAGTGTCTTAATGCAAAAGGCATTTAGCCACATTTAGCTACTACGCTGCCCCCTGCTGGAACCAGCTCCTAATGGATATCAAACCTGCCCCAACATTACCTGCTTGTATAAGAAGTTAAAGGTTTATGTGCCTTTAATTAGAGAGAATGTTTTTTAATGTGTGCTTTTATGCAGTTTCTATACTTCCATTTGTTCTAAATTTTACACTTTTTATGCATTTTTCATCTGTACCTTTGTTTCTGTACAGGAACATTGAATTCCGTCTCTGTAGAATAATGAACAACCTATTCTAGGTTACACACACTGGACTGTAAAGCTATTAGGTCTATAAAGCTGTTTTCAGATGTGACCTTTGGGTAAAATCCTTAGAATTGGCTACATAGTTTAATTAGAGTTTGTCTTTCACACATGCACAACGCAGCAGGACGTTCTCTGCAGAGACACGTAGATTCTCACTGGTTTTTCTTTCATTGTGTCTGAGATGAATTCACGTGGCCACGTTTCTCCTCTTCAGATCACCATGGTCAAGATGACATGAACAACTACATCAGCCAGTACTACAGTGAGCCAAGCAGTGGTGAGCATCAACATTGTGCTTCAGTCTCCTCTACAGCCCATGTGGCTGCACAATATTTAAACATCTCGTGTTGTTTTTGCAGATATGGGGATCCCGGACCCTGCACGAGTCATCACCACAGCAGCCATAGACGTGCACCTGCCCAACAACCCCAGCCAGCTTCCCTCCTCCTTGGTGAGTGCAGATGCAGTGCTGTCCAGCTGTTTGCAGCGGACCGGCAGCTCGGTCAGCGAGGCCTCCACGACCACAGTGTCCCGCACCAGCTTCAGCGCCCGCCAGCACAGCATCAGCAGCCACACACTGGGCTCCACCACAGACTGCAGCTCCACTGTGCGGGAGGCCTCCACCTCCACGGACTACAGCGACCAGCGCTGCTACCCTCCACCCTACAGCAGCCCCCTGGCCCTGGGAAGGCAGCCCCAAGGGAGTCCCAGTGCTGTGGTGCAGGAGCTGCTCTCCTCTCTGACTGAGAACTCCTGTCTCACACAGAAGGGCCTGGACCCTGTCAACCTTAAACCGCCCAGCCCGGCAGGCTCCACCAAAACCAGCCCAGAGCTGGAGCACAGGGTCAACATCTACAACAAGAGGAACCAGGATCTTCGAGTCGGGCTCCACTCTAAACCACTCATCCATCTGCAGGGCAATGAGGCTTTTCTGGAGGAGAAGTACAGGATGATGGAGCCAGTAGACGCTCCAGTCAACCGCCTGTCAGAGGCATGAGACTCTGCCTGACACATGGATCACTTTTCAGATCAACGGCAAAAAAACGCTTTACTAAACTCCCATGTTGTCGGGGGTCACTGGCACGTAAACTCATCCTCTTCGTACTATTGGAGCCGAGAGAGGATGAACTTGCCAGAGCAGCACAAATAGGGAGTGGAGGACAGAGATGGACAGACTTGTTATCAGGAACCACTTATCAGGAATAGACACTTACAAAAAAAACACTTGAGTTTTATGAACTAAATATTTACCAAAAGAAAAACCAGCAACAGGGTGAAAGCCCACAATTTTCAAACTGGTCTGTGCAGAAAGAAATCTGGCTTTTGATATGTAAATTTCCTCTGATATACTTTGTAGGAATTGGAGACGCTGGACCGATTCACTGGAGAGCTACAAACTGTGATCAGTGCCCTCCCCCCCCAAGCTACGAGGCGCGGTTTGATCACAGGTCTAAGTGAGTCAGCTGATCAGTCTGTCAGTCTGGTGTCTCCAAACTCACCAGGATCAGTCCCCTTTGATGGACTGCTGCAGGGTACATCGGATCAGTCTCCACTTCTTTCTAACCTTTGTCTTTCTATATTATCAGTGTTATCATTTTTATCTAAACTCTGTAAGTGGAAAGAGTGCGGAAACCTTTTGACTGGAGGGTGACTGAAGTGATTTTGACTTTTTAATCCAGGTGCCATGACTGGAAGCTGACCAAACCCAGCTGAGTCAGTGTTTACTTAAATAATAAAAATGCAGCATGTCCCTCACACACCAAAATAAGTTCTAAGTTAAATCTACCTGCGTATGATGGAGTTCATACCATTTAGTCTAAAATACTACCTTTTTGTGATTTTAATGTTTGGAAGCTATGTAAATATTTCAGGATGGGTTTGATCTTCGTCACAGACAAACATGTTGAGGGACTGGCTCTACAATAAAATGTTGGGAAGAAAATTACAGCATGAACCTTCAGGATTTGCCAATTTAACATTGCAAACTATCTCTGTTTATTGTTGTGTCAATAGGCATTTTCCATCTTGATCATGGACAGAGGGCATTACATAACAAACCCAATAAAGGGGACGTCGTGGCAAAATAAGAGAGCTGGTTATTACTTGACAATTTAATAGAATTGTTTTCCAAGAGCATCTCAATAATTACATCCTCAGTGTGAACAGCTACATCTTACAGCCAAACTACATCGTCACACATCTGAAGAGAAGGTAAGCATTCCCAGAGATCCATTACTGTATCTTAAAATGAAATACATGACAACATGTGGACTACTGGAGGCACAAATTAAACTCTTGCCACAGGTGAGTACAAGCTTATTTACTGGTACTTGTATAAAACTTTGATGTTAAACTCATTTAATTCCATACTGAGTGTTTGTCAGGCAGAGATGTTGAGGTTTTTATTTCCAAACGCAGACATTCACAGCACCAGCGTCTGTAACATCCTGTGGTCTCTCCCCCAGCTGTGCACTGGAAGTTTTAGTTCAACCTTTGTTTCTCTTCACTTGTTCAAAGCGTCCGTCATCTCAGGAACAGCCTGAAGAGAAAACAGAATAGATTTACATTTAAATACTTAATAGTCATTTTACTCAGAACCAAACTCGGCTAATACTTTCTGTTATGCTGCTTTTAGACGAGGGCTGAACGTATTTGAGAACGCAAAGGTCAGTTGCTCTGGACATTCTCTGGATTTTTTTCTGCCTGCTCCCAAAATGTCCAAAGAATGTCCCAGTGAGGCCAGGTCAGAATACAGCAGAATAATGTCTTTAAAATTCCCAGCAAGGGAATTGGCGTGTTGGTAACGTCTCCAACATGTGGCAGGAGTGAAAAAACAAAGAAAATACAAATATCTTAGGATGGAAGAGAGGTGTCATACACGTGGTTTACAAAACCGTGATTTCCACAGCCAAGTTTGTACATCATGTCCTGCCTCCTGCAAGCATTACCCAGAAGCCTCCATTCATCAAATTATTTATAGGTTATTACACAAACCATCAAATATGCTGCTGCTCACTCAAGACCCCAACATGCCGCGATCACACAAACATTTCTTACAGTCTTTGTAAGGTTGAAAAATGCACAGCGATCTTCACGGGAGGCATTTAGACCATAAATAAACACGCTGATATAACCAGTCATGTTTATTTAAAGAAGACATATTCAAAAGCATTTTGTGGTAAATATGAGTTAGTTATTTAAATGTATTAAATGGCTCTTCTCACGGGTGGAGAAACCTCAGTGCTGAACCATCAGTCACTGCCCGAGTTGGTCTGAGGTATCAATTGACCATTTGAGGAAAAAGTAGAAAGCCCATCCATTTTAATCAGCTATCTGAGGAGTGATCACATGTAAGGTGATCTCTCCCAGTGGGTCACAACTCTGCTGCCACTATCTATTATTACTAATCACTTCTACAGAGTTTGTCAGGACACCTGGGCGGCTCATGCACGGCTGAGGGGCTAAATAAAGCATGACCGACAGGACACACATGAAATTATAACCTACTAGCCTTTAACAAGCACCACTGGAATCCTGTCTTAGCAGTGCCTTCACTCGTGGCTCACTGCCCCCCCGCTACCAGACTGATACAAGGAAGCAGCAAAGTATGTAAGAGGCCTGGCGGGTGGAACCTGAAGACAAAACTGTTACAAGCTTTTGCTTTGTAACTATTGATCTTACATCTTCTGAGATGTCAATGTGATTGTCTCTTAGCAGCAAAGCTCCGACCACAACTCTCCTGATTAATTCAATAATTTAATAATTCAACACATGCACATTTCCATTCCGTGGAATAAGGCACTGGGCAAAATGTAATAGTGAGAAAGCAAATATTCTGATTATCAGTCTGGACTTTCAGCAGTAAGAACATACCGTGTGAGTCCACACATACCTCATGAGTGATGTTATGGCTTCACTGCTTGGTCATTACCTCCAACAAGGAGGTTAATGTATGTTTTCACCCACGTCTGTCTGTTTGTTTGCCAGCTTTTAGCAGGATTTCCTGCTGTGTATCCAGAAACTTTTTCTCGCTTTCTTAAACAATGTGAGATTTATGTCACAACATTCCCAGGGTATAATGCGTGTGTGCCATTTGTTGGGCCTTGGTGAGTGTATGCACTCCATTAATTGCAATTCAAGTTCCCTAATGTTAGAGTCAGTGTCATTACTGAAGCAATCTGAATCCCAAAAGCTCACCTTGAAAAGATCAGCTACCAAGCCATAGTCAGCCACCTGGAAAATGGGAGCCTCTGGGTCTTTGTTGATAGCAACAATAGTCTAAATATAAAAAGAACATTTTCAGCACTGATACACAACAACGGCACAGAAACATTGATAATTTCACAAATACATTATTATATCAATTTAAATATTCAATTAAACATTTGATACTTAATTGTAAACAAAACAGAAACCCCCATACATCATTTTAAATGGTATAGTTATTAGACTTAGTGCTGTTTACTCATTGTGTGTGAGATGGCATTTGAAATGTTACTTCATGTGGTTCGAATTCTTTTGCAGCCAGGAAACAACTATTTTACATATGTTTCCATATGTCTTTGCCCAAACTCAAGAGAGCTGCTTGATGGCATTAGATTTAATAAAATCTAAAATCATTACATGCGGCACATTGTTCTGTTTTAAATTAAGTTTAGAACAAAAGTAACAGAACATGCAAAGTAAAATAAAAATGAGTGAGAAAAGGGGGGTATGGTAAAATCCTCGGCTCCAGTGACGTTACCTTGCTATCTTTCATTCCAGCCAGGTGTTGAATGGCTCCAGAGATACCGACAGCGATGTACAACTCCTGTGGACGTGAAGAGAAGACGACCAGACAAGTGTTACTTTCTTGTTGACGTGCAGTGTAATCCCAGGCTTTTAGAAAAGGTACACCTCAGAACTATGACAGTGCGGAGCTGACTGATGGTGTGATGACCGCAGGTGTGTAATCTATCGGAGGGTGGTGTGTGAAAAGGGTCAAACATGGTCGCATCACCCTAAACCTCCTGAGAGAACCATCTTCCTGCACTACCACAAGAGTATTTCAGTGACTATTTCATGTATCAGATAAGTCAAGCACTATTGTGAACATAAAGTTAACTTTTCAACCAACCAGACACAATCCACAGAATCTAACAGTTGCTATTTCTGTTATCGATGTAAATGATCCTCATCAGATTATGAAAACTGGGATGACTCATTCCAATTGAATCTTATATTTACTTGAATACCCACAGAACAATTTAATTTATCAAACCGAGCCTGACCCAAACCAGACAGGTATTCCATTTTTTCTTTCCCTGATTGCAAGCATGTGCAGTGTAAAAGTATTAAGTAGATAGCCCAGCCAATATGACCAAAGTTGACCCAAACATCCGAATATCATTTCAAAAGAATATCGTCATTATGACTGAGCAGTGTACAACTGCACTACAACACTGCTAGATCGTACTGTGTAAAAATATATGCACTTATTTATTGATGTTAATTGTGAAGTGTTTTAATTCTGCAACAGAAACAAGATTATCATTTGATTTTAGAATGGTGTCTGAAAGAGCTCACTTTATAATCCTTTGCATTGACCTTTCTAGCAGAAATAAATAAATGAGTAAGACAAAACAGAGACAAATCTGGTCAGATCGTACTTCAATCAGAAGAAGGAAATATTATCTAACATTCATAAAAGTGAACACAACCTGTATCTCCTATTTCGCTTCATACACTTAACATTTTTAGATTGGAAGGGAGAAGAACCAAACCTGATTTATAATCATAATTTATTAACTTTGTCACAACATTTTGAAAATCCAGTTTGGAGAGTCTGCCCCGGTCTGAGGCTCTGACCAGATATCCACTGCACTCTGTTTTAATGGATCAGCTAAATCATTTAGGGCCCTTAATGTGCCATCACAAGCATTTTGCAGGGGCTAATGTGTGGATAATCATAGAGGGGCTAACCCAGCTGAAACACATAATGGCAACTTAACCTTTTAAAAGAGCAGATCAGACTTCCTGATGATACTGGATTGTAAGCATGCCAAAGACAGACAGGCATTTCTCAAATGCAGTAGGTTTGTATCCTCTGAGAGCTGCCTGCCTTAAGACATATTTTTAAATTAACCTATTCACCTTGCACCTACTGAAGTACCGAGCTGTTGCACCCAATGAAGAGAATCTTAATAACCACCTCAGAAAAGGGAAAACTTACTGGTGCAACAATTTTCCCAGTCTGTCCAACCTGCATGTCGTTCGGGACATACCCAGCATCCACTGCAGCTCTGGATGCACCAACTGTAAAAGTAATATTTTGAAATTTTCAATTTACCTTCGTACAAATAAGTGCCCAGGTAATTTTTTAGACAACATAATGACCCCACCCTACCTGCAGCATTCAGTTTGTCAGCAAGGTCATAAAGCAGCTTGAAATTGTCGCCACTCTTCAGGCCCCTACCTAAGAAAAAAAAAACATTGAACAAGCACATGTTACTGAACTCTCACCCCTGCTTACCCAAACTTAATAAAAAAGTTAAAAAATCTTGCAACAAAAGAATCAGTCCAGCATATTATTAAGACACCTGAGCAAACCCAAATCTAACAAATGAATCCTCAATTAAAATAATTTGTGAAACATAGAAAAAAAGATAAGAGAGTTGACTCATACCTCCTGACACCACAACCTTAGCACTCGTCAGCTCTGGGCGGTCGCTCTTTGTCAGACACTGCTCCAGCCACTCAGACACTCCAGCGGGTGAGGACGCAGCAACTGCAGATCAGATATCAATGCCCAGTGAGAATAAAAATAATGACAAACAAGGTTTAAAGAGCTTTAAACAACTCCTTAGCATGTACTGCAGATGTCTTTGAATGACTCTGTTATTTACTGTACCATCTTCTGATTGGGCACTTCCTCCCTCTGTTGGCGCTGCCTCAAAGGACGTCCCTCTGATGGTGAGGACCTTGACTGGCTCATTACATTTCACAGTGCTGAGCGCATTTCCTATGAAAGTTTAAAATATGATTAATAAAAAAACATTGAACAAAAACAGTACAAGTACAAACTTGCCAGAAACAAATCCAGACATTCAAACATTCCTATCAAGTCTACACCAAAGCCAGGTAACATGATTTAACTTTTTTTTTTAGTTTTCTCAAAACCGATAAAAATCATTCGTTACTTCTTCTACCATAATGACTTACCTGCATAAATGGTTCGGACAAAGGTGTCTGGAGACTTGATCTCAATGATATCTGACACTGGGGCGACATCCAACTTGGCAGCCACTCTGGGAAGCAGGTTCTGCAGATAAAATTAGGAATTAGCTAAGAAATATACACTGATCATACTTGAGTATTGAAAGTATCAGATGAAAAAGTACTGTAGAAATAGAAACATTAGTAAATATCAATTAGTTCAAAATTAACTTGTTAAACAAGACATTTTGACACTTCAGAACAGGTGTATGGTGGGGAAATACATTCAACTATAACAAAATACATGCA